TTCTTGACAAATGTATCTTTTCTTTCATGTACACTGAGAGCGTATGCACCAAAGACAAATTCCTTGTGTGTCCAATCACACTTGGCCAATAAAGAATTCTATTCTATTCTATTCTATTCTATTCTATTCTATTCTATTCTATTCTATTCTATTCTATGACTATCATTAAGTGTTGTACCTTACGATTCTTGACAAACGTATCTTTTCTTTTATGTACACTGAGAGCGTATGCACCAAGACAAATTCCTTGTGTGTCCAATCACACTTGGCCAATAAAGAATTCTATTCTATTCTATTCTATTCTATTCTATTCTATTCTATTCTATTCTATTCTATTCTATTCTATTCTATTCTATTCCATTCCATTCCATTCCATTCCATTCCATTCCATTCCATTCCATATTTTCTATTCTATTGTATTCTATTCTATTTGTGCTAGTGATGGAGCACGGAATTCTTTTTTAAAAAGAAAACACCACGTTTTAATCCTCTGTTCATAGAATCCATTGGTCTTTTCTTTTTTTTTTCCTAACCCTGGTTGATTTTTGTGTTATTCACAAACTCAGGCAGGTGAGGGCGAAGATTGCCAGGTGTGAACATTTCCCAGGGCTTAAGATTTAATTTTGATCCGTAGGTTAGCGGAAAGGAGACCTGCTTAGATAAGATTCATTTCCTTAGCCTTTGTGTGACACGCACACACACACAAAAACAGATGTTCTCCGTCATCCCTCTGACCTCTCTGGAAGATGAACAGCCTGTCTGATACACTTATTGATCGGAGAAAGCCACGGTTCCCTGGGAAATAAGCAATAGATGACGTGCAAGAGCCACGAAGATGATGGATCCCGGATCTGCGTACCTTCCGTCGCGCGCTCAAGACTTTCTTATTTCATCAAGCTGTCCTGACCTAAGTTTTTTTCCCCTTTTTAAATGGAAATTTTAAATTTGGTTTTAAATTATTGGGATTTTAAATCTGTACAGCCAAATTATTGAATTCATTTTATTTCATTTTAAATTTTGTATTTATATGTTTTATTCTATTTCTGTTCACCGCCCTGAGTCCTTCGGGAGTAGGGCGGTATATAAATTCAATAAAATAAAATAAATAAATAAATAAATAAATAATGAAGGGCCTGGAGACAAAAACACACGAAGAACGGTTGCAGGAATTGGGGCATGGCCAGTCTAGAGAAAAGAAGAATTAAGGGGGTGGACATGATAACCGTCTTCCAATATTTGAGGGGCTGCCACAAAGAGAGAGGGGGTTGACTTTTTTTTTTATTGAAAAGTTTTATAAAAGATACAAACATTTTCTCCCCCCCTCCCACCCCTCCACCCTCACCCCATCCCACCCCCCTTGCCCACCCACCCACCCCCCTCCCTCGACTTCCCAGAACAAGCACAGGGTACATCATTCACAAACATAAAACTAAAATATGCTAACCAATTATTGACTTCAAATTCTCTCTAGGTCTTTAACTCCTTATAGCTCAAAACCCTATAAACATAAACTAAAGATTAAAAATGTTTCATTCATAAGCTATATGAAAACTTCTTAGTCTGATACTTGTTTTGAATATAGTCGATCCATCTTCTCCATTCCGATATATATCTTTCGTTTGAGTGATCTTTAAGATATGATGAAAGGGGTTGACTTATTTTCAAAAGCATCAGAAGGCAGGACAAGAAACGATGGATGGAAGCTAATCAACCTGGAATTAAGGAGAAACTTCCTAATTGTGAGGACAATTAACCAGTGGAACAACAGAAGTTGATAGGTGCTTCATCACTGGAGGATTTTAAGAAGAGACTGAACAGCCACCTATCTGAAATGGTATCAGCTCTCCCTCTTGAGCAGGGGGTTGGACTACAACAAGGTAGTCCTACCCAACCCCTTGGTTTGTGGACCGACACCGGGCCGCACCATGCCCAAATCCGGTCTGTGCAAACAAGCAAAGCCCCATGCGTGGGATGCAGGCAGCGTGCAAAACCACATCCCCTCCGGTGCACGGAAAGACCTCTCTCCACAGATCTGGTCCTTGGTGCCCAAAAGTTTGGGGGCTGCCAGACTAGAAGACCTCTGTTGTGGCCCGTCAGCCGCCAGCCACTCCAGCAGAGGAGGAAGCGTGGAAGTCAGGACCAGCATCAAGGCAACCTGGGAGCTCCAAGGTGGAAGAGGGAATGGAGCTGGCAGAGAGAGAGAGAGAGAGGCGGAGCCTGGGCTGTCCGTCAGCCCTCAGATGGAGAGTCAACAGCCCCCAAGTCTGGAGGTGGCTGATGAGGAAGAGGAGGAACAGCTGGCACAGAGACAGAGGCAGAGCTTGGGCTGTCTGTCAGTCCTCAGATGGAAAGTTAATAGCATCCAGGTCTGGAGGTGGCTGATGAGGAGGAGAACGAACAGATGAGTCCAGTGCCTGATGCACAGAAGACAGAGGAGAGGAGAGCAGTGGAAATCTATGGGCCGGTCCTTGGGAAGGAAGAGTCACTGATGTTAGTGAAGCCCCACCGTAGCTCTGGGGATAAAAGGCAGGGGACGGAGATGAATAGGTGTGGCAGAAAACTATTCATCTTCTGGCCAGACAGACTTGTTAGCCTGCATTGAGAGAGAAACTTTTTGCCAGGGCTGCTGGCACTCCTAATAAAGGAATCATTGATTTAACTTCAGAGGGTTTGTCGTGTTTGGGAAGCTGGGTCAGAACAACCTCCAAGAGAGGGGTGAAATTCAGCAGGTTCTGATAGGTTCTGGAGAACTGGTAGCGGAAATTTTGAGCAGTTTGGAGAACCGGCAAATACCACCTCTGGCTGGCCCCAGAGTGGAGTGGGAATATTTTGCAATATCCTTCCCCCAGGAGTGGGGAGGGAATGGGGATTTTGCAGTATCCTTCCCCTGGAGTGGGGAGGGATTGGGGATTTTGCGATATCCTTCCCCAGGAGTGGGGAGGGAATGGGGATTTTGCAGTATCCTTCCCCCAGGAGTGGGGAGGGAATGGAGATTTTGCAATATCTTTCTCCCAGGAGTGGGGAGGGATTGGGGATTTTGCAATATCCTTCCCCCAGGAGTGGGGAGGGAATGGGGATTTTGTAGTATCCTTCCCCTGGAGTGGGATGGGAATGGAGATTTTGCACTATTCTTCCCTTGCCACGCCCACCAAGCCACACCCACCAAGCCCCACCACGCCCACACAGCCACGTCCACAGAACCGGTAGTAAAAAAAATTGGATTTCACCACTGCTCTAAGATCTCCTTCCTGCTTTATTCTGATTGATTGATTGATTGATTAAAATGAATTTCACTCATTGAAATGGTAAGAAGTGCTTTTTCAGGGTAATTTAATTAGAGGTATCCAGACAAAGCAGTAGGCGGGCAGTGAAACGAAGGATTTTAGCATCTGCCTCGTACAGATTAATCTGGCATCTCTAGCGTCTGCTCTTGGTTGACTGGCAGCATCACTTCCTTAATACAGGCACAGAGATAAGCCAATTTATTTGATTGTTCAGTGGATAACACTTTATGAATGCATGATGGTTGCACACGCAGCTCATAAATCAACAAGGTCTTTGCTCCGCACTCCTAATTGTGTTTGTATCTGAAAACAAGTCCTCCGTTTTGCTCTCAGCTTAATGGCTTTCCCCACCACTACCACTCCTCCCATTAAATGTATTTGAATAATCATAAATTGCACCCCAGGTAATATGAAGGGAGAGGCGATGAAATTATCCGAATGGAAAACGTCTGCGCGAGAAAGCTATCCGTTGTTGGGGTATGCGAGGGATGCTTTAAATCAGAACTAACATATCTGGTCTGAAAATAATCAGATGGCCACTAGTTGACAGCAAAGAGCTAGGTTTTTTTTTTCTCCCCCAGTGTCTTGGTGTCACCATCTAGTGGCCCTTGGGAATTTTGCAGGCCCAATGTGTTAGCCTTGTTTAAGAATGATGCCAAAATGGCTCTGGAAAATTCTATCAATTGTTCAGTGAATTTTGCTCCATTTTATGACCTTTCTTGCCACTGCAGTTAAGGGAATCACTGCAGTGACATGGTTATTAAGTGAATCTGGCTTTCCTCATTGACTTTGCTTGTCGGAAGGATGATCGCATGTCTCTGGGACAGGCAACCGTGATAAATATGAGCCAGTTGCCAAGCGTCTGAGCTTTAATTACCATATTTTTCGGAGTATAAGACCCACCTTTTTCCCCTAAAAAGGAGGGTGAAATTCTGGGTGTGTCTTATACTCCAAATGTAGCCCCGCCCAGCTTCTCAAATGGAGGTTTCAGAGGCTGAAAAAAGCATCAGAAACGAAGCTTCAGAAAAGAGCTTCAGAAAAAAAGCCTCCAAACAGAGCTTCAGAAAAAAAGCCTCCAAACAGAGCTTCAGAAAAGAAGTCTCCAAATAAAGCTTCAGAAAAGAAGCCTCCAAACAGAGCTTCAGCCTCCAAACAGAGCTTCAGAAAAGAAGCCTCCAAACAGAGCTTCAGAAAAGAAGCCTCCAAACAGAGCTTCAGAAAAGAAGCCCCCAAACAGAGCTTCAGAAAAGAAGCCTCCAAACAGAGCTTCAGCCTCCAAACAGAGCTTCAGAAAAGAAGCCTCCAAACAGAGCCACCATGTCTACATTAGTTTACATTACTACATGAATAATACAGTATCATGGCCATCCCATAATTCCAGAAAAGAATATTGGTTAGGAAAAGGGAGTCTTTTCATAGGAGATATATTTTTTTAAAAAAAACAATAACCGTTCCATCACAAGAAGCCACGTAGTAAAGAATATCTCGACGACATGTGTCTTTAGAGTTTCAAATCATCTTTTTCCATTAAACGAAGTATTAAAAGGAGGAAAATCAAGTTCACTGTGAAACATCATGGAGATAGAACAATTACCTCTCCTGGCTTGTTCCAGCTCGTTCTTTTTTCTTTTTTTTCTTTTTTTTTTTGCTTGGTTTCTTTCTCACCTTCCTCCCTGAAATAAAACTGTTATTTTTCATGGTTAATGGAGAGGCAAGATTTCCAGAGCCCTTCTTCTTATTGGTTTGACCTCCAGTTCTGTTCCTGCATCTTTCTGTCTCTATTAAGAGCTAGACGGTGGTGAAAACGCCCCTTTACGACAAAGGTTGGAGGCACAAACGTTGATTTTTCAACCTAATGTTCTCTTTTGATGAAAAAAGACGCGTTTTATCCTTTCATTTAAAATCTGGTGAGCATCTCACACCTAACTTCGCGAGGGCAAAGCCGCATCCTGAAGCACCCCACCCACAAGTTCAAAGGGAGCTCACAAAAGAAGGATATTCTTTTGCAATTTAGGATTATGGAGCAATCAACCAATCAGAATACAACGGGGACCTTGGAGGTCTTCTAGTCCAACCCCATTAGTCAACCACATAACTGTTGGTCCAACGTGAACGCTGCCTGTATCATCAATCTTCCATTGCTTTTCAGTCTATCAATCCGTGTTAAAATCGGCTATTTCTAATTTCTCCTTCTGGCCCCTGCTAATTCTCCCAGAATTACAGGTAGTCCTCAACTTACGACCACAACTGAGTCCCAAATTTTGGTTGCTAGGCGAAACAGTCGTTAACTGAATGTTGCCCCCATTTTACGATCTTTCTTGCCACAGTTGCAAAGTGAATCACAGCAGTGACTACGTTAGTAACATGGTTGTTAAGTGAATCCCATTGACTTTGCTCGCCAGGTCGCAAAAGGAGATCACGTGACACACACACTCCCCGTCAGAAGTATGAGTCAGTTGCCAAGCGTCTTGATTCTGATCATGGGACCCTGGGGACGTTGCAACATCGTAAGTGTGAAAAATGGTTGTAAATCACTTTTTCCAGTGCCGTTATAACTTTGAACGGTCACTAAATGAACTGCCGTAAGTCGAGGACTACTTGTACCAGATAAAAATTAAGTCTTCCCTCAACTTAGATCCCTGGTGACTTCGAAAAATACAAGTGCTTGACTTTTCGTGAAAAACTTACTTTTTGCACGAAACCTATTAAAAATGTGAAAAACACAACAAGGATAAGGACCTCATTAACAGAGTGTTTCACATTCCTAGATTTGAACGTCGATAATACCGCAGGGTTATATTTTATTCGCACTGGCAGTGAAGTATTGACATTTTATTCCGTAAAAGGCCAAGGTTTTCTGTTTTGTTATATCTATCAACGACCGTCTCTGAAGCCTGATTAAATCAACTTCTTTAGAAGGCTCGTATATCTGTTGCTTTCCCTTCGGAGTTCTCCTTCCTTACCATCCAGGAAGAAATCTTTCGGACTTGCGTTGTCATCTTCTAAAACGCTTCCTGGGTGATGTGCGAATACGGGGAGTTTGTCACGCGGGACTAGAGAGGCGGCATCCTTCGTGCGACCTGAGCTGTTGCAGGAGATAGTGAGCTGATACGGTAATTGCAGTCTGGAGGCCTCCAAGATTGGATCTCCCAAGGCAAAGGAACATTTTCTCACCAAGAAGGATGAAGCAGCTGGCATGGATGGGCTGCCTTTGGGGTGGAGGACTTGAGGCGGATTTCCGTGGTAGAAATGCTAGAGTTTGAGGATGACGGAAGTTTTAAGAGGAAGTTCCTTTCTCTCTCTCCCCTCCCTCTCGCTTTCTCCCTCTTTTTCACTCCCTCTCCCTACCTCCTTGCCCCCCTCTCTCCCTCCCACCCCTCTCTCTCTCTCTCTCGCACTCTCTCACTCTGTCCCTCTCCTCCTCCCTTCATTCCTCTCCCTCCCTTTCTCTTTCTCCCTCTCCCTCTTCTTCTCCCCCGCCCTCTCTTTTCCTCCTTTTCTCTCCCCTCCCTCCCTCTCTCACTCTTCCTCCCTCTCCCCCTGTCCCTCTCCTCCTTTCATTCCTCTCCCTCCCTTTCTCCCTCTCCCTTCCCTCTCTCTCCCTCCCTCTTTCTCCTCTCCCTCTTCTTTTTCCCCTCTCCCTCTTTTCCTCCTTTTCTCTCCCCCTCCCTCCCTCTCCCCTCCCTCTCCTCCTCTGTCCCTCTCCTCCTCCCTTCATTCCTTTCCTTCCCTTTTTCTTTCTTTTCTCCCTCTCTCTCCCTTCCTCCCTCACTCTTTCTTCTCTCCCTCTTCTTCTCCCCCTCCCTTTTCCTCCTTTTCTCTCCCCCTCTCCCTCTATCCCTCTTCCTCCCTCTCCCCCTGTCCCTCTCTTCCTCCCTTCATTCATCTCCCTCCCTTTCTCTTTCTCCCTCTCCCTTTCTCCTCTCTCCTTCCCTCCCTCACTCTTTCTCCTCTCCCTCTTCTTCTCCCCCTCCCCCTCCCTTTTCCTCCTTTTCTCTCCATCCCTCTCTCTCTCCCTCCCCTCCCCTTCCTCTCCCCTTCTGTCCATCTCCTCCTCCCTTTATTCCTCTCCCTTCCTTTCTCTTTCTCCCTCTCCCTCTCCCTCTCTCTCTCCCTCCCTCTTCTCCCTCTCTCCCTCCCTTTTCCTCCTTTTCTCTCCCTCTCCCTCCCTCCTTGCCTCTCTCTCTCTCTCTCTCTCTCTGTCTCTCTCTCTCTCACACACACACAGAGAACAAACAACCCTTAGTTTCCTTTAACTGTTCAAGAGGAATAGTTGTGAATAGTATTGCTATCTTATCCCCCCCAGTCCTTCTTTTCTCTAGACTGGCCATACCCAAATCCTGCAACCACTCATTGTACATTTTAGTCTCCAGGCCTTTAATCCTCTTAGTTGCTCTTCTCTGCACTTTTCCCCAAAGTTATGGGTCATAAGACTTTCCTCCAATAAGAAATGGGAAGCAAAACATTGGAAAAGTATGACGTCTGTTGGGACCGAGTTGGTTTTAAGATGAAGTCCAAGATCTTTCGATCCAGAGGGAACCTTTTGGCTTTCTCTACTGCACATTTTGTCGAGAAAGGCAGGCTCGGCAGCACGAGACCTATTCAAGGAACAAAACTGTGTTTCTGAGAAGGCCGCTGCTCGCAAATCAGGTCTGAGTCATCCCACCCTTTCCCTCTGCAGCAGAAAGATCTGGGTCACGCCAGAGGTAATTAAATTTCACATTTCACACACACCCCCGTACATTTCTAATGGCCTTAATTTCGAGCAGATCAATAGGAAGAGGAGAAAACTTTCTCGTATAGCACTTTAGAAGTTTCACTTGAAAGTATGACAAATTACCTTTCCTGTTTGAGCTTCCAGTTCGAGCTAGACACGGAAGAGCTTGGCTCAGCATTTTGGGTTGGTCTTTTAAATGCTAAAAAAAAAAATCTGGAAAATAAAACTCAGAGCGACAAAGGAAGGGTGAACCCATTCATTCTCCTGCCGATATCTTCCTCGGACGCTGGGCTCACCTCATAGATGAGGGGAAGATTATGAAGTAGTTGGAGGCTTATGAAGTGTTTCTCGTGGCCTGCAAGACTAGAGGGATTTGGTGCCTGGTTCTGTGTGACTTTTGAATTGTTGATTGGGCTGCTGATGGGCGGTTATTAAGACGTTGGCTGTTGTTTCCTTGTGCTGCCAAGATCTCACCTCCTAAGTACTTGGTGGCAAATCAGCATTCCTGTTGACTGACGAGGAGCCCGTTTCCGAAGCTTCAATCGTTTCTCTGGCTGTTTTTGCACCTGCTCATCCAACAATCTTAGTAGCTCCTTTTTCATTGCAGTGTGAGGCTACCAATGAGCTCGGGTCTCTTCGTTTGACCATTCTCTTGTGTTCTTATAATTTGATGGTTAGCTTTCTCCCCATCTGTCTTACATAGTCACAGGGGCAATCCTTGCAGGGAATCTGGTCAGGTGTGAGCTTCAAAAATTTTAGCAAGGGATTCTCTTCCCGGTTGCTGGGTGGGCGTGGCCATGTTGGGCATGGCCTAGTCAACCAGAAGGCCCATTCCCAGCCTTCCCAAACTTCTGGTAGGCCCATTTTTCTCCCTCCCCGAGCCTCCACGCGTGTCCTGCACTTACCTGCATCCAAAACGGGCCATGTGGGGATTTCTGGGAGTGGAGGGTGGCTGGGTCCAGCTAGGAGTGGGATTTGTGGGTTCTCCAAACTGCACAGAATCTTAGCTAGAGGTCCTCCCAACCCCCTGTGAACCCCCAGCAGCCCACCCCTGAATCTGGTAGATTATATTGAAAGTATCTCCCACCATCAAGCGACCTTTACACGCAAGGCCTTTTCCCCCAGATATCTTGGTGGAAACTCCAGAAGTTCTTGAGAAGTTCTTGAACTATAAATCTCCTCTCTTTTAAATATTTGCTCTTGGTTGTTTGGCCTTGGAAATTCTTTTCTTGGTCCCAGGCAAATATATGGGGTGTTTAGGAAATTTTCTACTTCTAGTAAAGCTCGTTTCACTTGTTTTACCTCTCTGTCTTCCGGTTTCCTTCAGAATGGTTGCTTAGGCAATATTTTCCTCGTGATCTGGAAGCCAAGGTTGAATCAACATTTTCCCTTCTGCAGAAAGGAAATTTCTTTACGAGTTCAAGGATTTAACATCAGGGCATCCAGCTCTGGCGAGAAGCAAATTACATCTACAAATCAGCTACTTGGACAAGCCTGTTTGAAACTTTTCCCCTTTCTATAAGGTACTGACCCCGTCAAAGTCATGTATGAAATATTCTTCTTCCTGAATGCAAGAGCACTTTTAACAAGGATCTCAGATCAATGGTTTTTCCATCTGTTGATTCTCAACAATTTAGATCAGCCCATAGTGCGTTGATTGCGTGGAACAATTAATTCTTAATTTATTCCAGGAAAGCAAACACCCCAAACTCCAAACTTCATAATTGCAAGAATTGTCCTTAAACTTTGCAACCGAAATGTGGAATACCGCAGTAACGCTATCATCCTACTGAATCGTTTTTATGACAATATGATCAAGCCGTAAAGCAGACAACCAACGAGAAGCCAAACAGTTCTTTGTGTACTAAACACAACAGCTTTATGGGTCTAATAGTGAGAGGGACCTTGGAGTCCTAGTGGACAACCATTTAGATATGAGCCAGCTGTGTGCAGCAGCTGCCAAAAAAGCCAACACAGTTCTAGGCTGCATCAACAGAGGGATAGAATCAAGATCACGTGAAGTGTTAATACCACTTTATAAGGCCTTGGTAAGGCCACACTTGGAATACTGCATCTAATTTTGGTCGCCACGATGTAAAAAAAATGTGGAAACTCTAGAAAGAGTGCAGAGAAGAGCAAGAAAGAAGATTAGGGGACTGGAGGCTAAAACATATGAAGAACAGTTGCAGGAACTGGGTATGTCTAGTTTAATGAAAAGAAGGACTAGGGGTGACAGGATAGCAGTCTTCCAATATCTCAGGGGCTGCCCCAAAGAAGAGGGAGTCAAGCTATTCTCCAAAGCTCCTGAAGGCAGGACAAGAAGCAATGGATGGAAACCAATCAAGGAGAGAAGCAACTTAGAACTAAGGAGAAATTTCCTGAGAGTGAAAACAATTAACCAGTGGAACAACTTGCCTCCAGAAGTTGGGAATGCTCCAACACTGGAAGTTTTTAAGAAGAATTGGACAACCATTTGTCTGAAATGCTGTAGGGCAGTGATAGCTAACCTTTTTGCCATCGTGCCAGGAAGGGGGGGGCGGGGGAGATTCGCATGGGTGCCCACACCCATAACACAGTTGTTTAAGTGAATCTGCCTTCCCCGTGGACTTTGGCTGTCAGAAGGTCGCAAAAGGGAATCACGTGACCCCGGGAACACTGCAGCCATCATAAATATGAGTCAGTTGCCAATTTTGATCATGTGACCATGGTCATAAGTGTGAGAAATGGTCATAGGTCACTTCTTTCAGTGCCGTTATAACTTCGAACAGTCACTAAATGAACCGTTGTAAGTCGAGGACTACCTGCGGAGTTTTCCCCTCTTAAGATAGAGCTGCGATGGGTTCTAATGTGAATATATATCATATTTTTCTTAGCTTAAACGACTTTAACGCCCTGCTTTTTGTTCCAAAATGAAAGATATTCAGGATTTCCTCCCCTCTAAACAAAGAAGGAATCAGGAGATAAAGGCTTATAAAAATTATCATATATATTAATCTTACGCCATGGTAGAATCTTTCTGCCAAGTTCTTAAGCCGGTTCAGTAACGGTTCTTCTCTTCCCGCTGAAAATGAAAAATCTTTTGGGCTTCGGTGATTCCGAAGCGCTCGGTGGGAAAATGTTTGGCATGAATTTGGATGGCTCGACCGGATATAATATTCTTAAGAAAACAATAGAACCACTGAGGAAAATACAGCTGTTGTGTGGCACGCCAGACTCCTAATCCATGTCAGTTCAAGGCAAGCCTACATTCCCCCTAGGTAAGAAAATAAAACATCAGGCACCAAGGAAGAAACAAAAGAAACAAAAGAAACAAGAATCCCAGTTCCCAATAGGAAGGCAGGTGTTAGATAGATAGGAAGGCAGATAGATAAATAGATAGATAGATAGATAGATAGATAGATAGATAGATAGATAGATAGATAGATAGGAGGGAGGGAGATATATGATAGAGAGAGAGACAGAGACAGAGAGAAGATAGATAGATGATAGATAGATAGATAGATAGATAGATTAGATAGATAGATAGATGGGAGGGAGGGAGGGAGGGAGGGAGGGAGATATATGATAGAGAGAGAGACAGAGAGAAGATAGATAGGTAGATAGATAGATAGATAGATAGATAGATAGATAGATAGATAGATAGGAGGGAGGGAGGGAGGGAGATATATGAGAGAAAGAGACAGAGAGAAGATAGATAAATAGATAGATAGATAGATAGATAGATAGATAGATAGATAGAGGGAGGGGAGAGAGAGAGATGAGAGAGAGATGAGAGATAGATATAGGAAGGAAGGAAGGAAGGAAGGAAGGAAGGAAGGAAGGAAGAAAGAAAGAAAGAAAGAAAGAAAGAAAGAAAGAAAGAAAGAAAGAAAGAAAGAAAAGCAGTCATGCATCTGAGAGCTTGGAAGTCCCTCTGCAGAACAATGCTGGATTTTTATGCAACCAGCTGGCCGAGGGGAAGATGTTTGCTGTGTTCTCTTCGCATGGAGACCTCCCAGCTTTTCCATCAGGTTAAAGCTTTCCAGAGAAGCTGCTGCCTGATGCATATTTTATGCATGGTATAGATTAGTCACAAGCTAGCAGCCCCGGGATGCACCCCTCTGCTCGGTTAATAAAAGCTACACCAGCAAGACCGCACCAACTTTTTTTAAAAAATCCATGTTGCTAGGCACAAAGAGCATGCATAAAATATGAGGCTGCCTTCAAGTCAATCTGGAGCCCTGGGAATTGACGTTGTCTTTTTTTGGGGGGGGGGGGATATTTTTGCAGCTTCCCAGACTGATCGACACGCCTAGAATTTCCAGAAACTAACCATCTACAGGTAGTCCTCGACTTAGGACTGTAAAGAACCCTGGGATTTCTGTTGTAAGTCATGACGGTCCTAAGTTGAGGGCCCCGTGTGATAGACACAATTTTATTGATTTATTTTGCAGTGGTCGTTAAGCGGAGTAAAACTGTCATTAAATCGTGGTCACATGGATTGCAGAATTCTGCAACTGATCGTAAGGGTAAGCCGGTTGCTAAGTGCCCGAACGGTGATCACACTTCCACAAGACGAGTGTGCTGCCGTTGTCACTCTGGAACCAGGTCATAAGTAGCCTTGAGGGGAATCCAGTTGTTAAGCGAGGACTATACTGCTAAACGAGGCTGGTTTTCTGAGTTTTTGAGCTCAGCCAAAGCCATCCATGTGATCTCACTGTGGTGGAATGGAGTCTGGATTCCCAAAGGGAGGGCTGCTATTCCAGAGGAGCAAGAGACGGCTGTTGTGTCTCCATTGCCTGAGTCTGGGCTATCGACAGATGCAGACTCTGAGAGTGAGGAAGAGGAGTTGGCAAGGCCTCCCTCTCCAGGATCCTCCTCTCTGGCAATGCCTCCGGAGGACACCGAAGGCCAAACGATAGGCTCAGAGCCAAGCACATCCCCGCAGCCACAGGTGGACAGCGATGAAGAAGATAAGTGCTGGCTGGACCCTCGGCAGAGGTGCAGGGAGAAGCGTGCGCAGCAGAGGGGAAGGCGTGCAGAGATTAGCTGAGTCACTGGACCACACCCCACAGGGTATAAATGTGGGTGTGGTGGCCGGTTCAGCTTGTGATGAGCAAAAACTAGAAATAATCCATGATCTCTGCGTTACTGGACTTCTGCCTGCCTTGTCAGACTGCATTTGGACTAATCCTTGTATTGTTGAAACTCTGCCTGCTTTATCGCAATGCTTGCAGTCTAATCTTTGTTTTGTGTGAGTAAAGTTGAATTGGCAGCTAGCCACTGGGTTGCTGCCAGCTTTATCTTCAAATATTTTGTCGTGTGGCTTATTAACTCCGGGCCGTCCATGGGGGTGCATGTGTGGGACGGGGACAGAACAACAGCGAAGTTTAGATAGTTTTATTGGGAAGAGGAGAGTTAAAATCAGGGGTGGGATTTAAAAATTTTCGCAACTGGTTCTCTGCCCAGTTGCTGGGTGGGTGTGGCCATGGTGGGTGTGGCCTACTCAGCCTCCTGCACCACAGTGAGGAGGCATTTTTGCCCTCCCCAGGCTCCAGAGGCTTTCCTCGAGCCTCCAGGAGGGCAAAAACGGCCTCCCCCAGTCTCCGGAGACCCTCCAGAGGCCGGAAACAGGCCCATTTCCAGACTTCCGGAACTTCCAGAAAGCCCCTTTTTCACCCATCCAGAGCCTCCGTGGAGGCCCTGCACTTACCTGGCATCCAAAACAGGCCGCGTTGAGACACCTGGGAGGGGAGGGGCAAGGTGGACAACCAGGGGAAGGGCAGGGTTTGGCGAACCAGATGTAAAATTAGCATCTGGTTTGCCTGAACCGGTCCGAACTGGCTGAATCCCACCGCTGATTAAGATGGCTCCTCCCTAGACATTTTTTCGAGTCCATCTTTAATGATGCAAATAATCTGCTTTAGTTTGGCAAGATTCCTGTCTAGAGGTGAGGAACAACAAAGGAAGCTGCTCAGAAGAAACTCCACATGTCTTTCTCGCTTCTTGACATTAGCCAAATAGAGTATATGTCTCGTTCTCCCTGATTCAGGAGATAGGATGTCTTTGCTCCTGAAGAAAGGAATGCTATTGTATCTGAGGGAATCCCGAAGGTGCTTTTTAAGAGGCAACATTTTTCTGAAAACGTTTCGCTTCTCATCCAAGAACCATCCAGTCAGAGCCAAAGAAACTTCTTGGATGAGAAGTGAAATGTCTTCAAAGAAAAATCAAGAAAGTCCAGTTGCCGCTTGAAAGAAAAATCATCTTTGGGACAACTATGACCTGAGTGACGGAGAATCTCCATGGACATTTATCTGAGGGAATGCTATCTATTGTTCATATATGTCCCCTATTTTATGTCCTGTCAGTGGAGGAGAAAAAGGGAGGGAGGGAGGGAGGGAGGGAAGGAAGGAAGGAAGGAATAGGGGAGGGAGGAAGGAGGGAAGGAAGGGAAGGAGGGAGGAGTAGGAGAGGGAGGGAGAAGGAGGGAAGGAAGGAAGGAGGGAGGAGTAGGGAGGGAGGGAGGTAAAGAAGGAAGGAATAGGGGAGGGAGGGAGGAAGGAAGGAAGGAATAGGGAGGGAGGGAGGAAGGAAAGGAAGGAATAGGGAGGAAGGAGGGAAGGAAGGGAAGGAGGGAGGAGTAGGGGAGGGAGGGAGTAAAGAAGGAAGGAATAGGGGAGGGAGGGAGGAAGGAAGGAAGGAATAGGGGAGGGAGGGAGGGAGGAAGGAATAGGGAGGGAGGAAGGAGGGAAGGAAGGGAAGGGGGGAGGAGTAGGGGAGGGATGGAGCAAGGAAGGAAGGAGTAGGGGAGGGATGGAGCAAGGAAGGAAGGAATAGGGGAGGGAGGGAGGGAGGGAGGGAGGGAGGAAGGAAGGAAGGAAGGAAGGAAGGAAGGAAGGAAGGAAGGAAGGAAGGAAGGAAGGAAGGAAGGAAGGAAGGAACCCTCCCTAGACGTTCTCAGAGTATATCTTTAGTGATGCAAATAGTTGCAGATAGTCATATAAATTCATTTAATATATAAATAGTGAACTGCACCCTATCCTTTGCGGTGAATTCTACCAATAGATTTCCTCGTTTTTCGTACTTTTGTTTACAATATATTCCTTCGTTCCCATTTCAAGACTTACCTTTTTTTTAAACCGAGTGGTTTACCACGTCGAAGAAGCATATTCAGTACATCACATTTGAAAATGCCGCTTTAAGTTTAAATTAACTTCGCCCAAAAATGCCATTTAAATATTTTACAGGCCGCCGACGCCATGCTGCCTTTTCAATCAAACGGCAGGGGGGAAAAAACAGAAATTAGATATTTTCTCAGGAAAGGAGTCGGTAATGTAAGATCCCGCCAAAAAAAGACCTTTTATTTTGGCTCTTGTCAATCTTTGACAAGAGGTTAATAAGCTTTTTAGTATTGGACTGTGTATCTGCCCTTTGGTCACCTATATTTAGAGAGGTTTTTTCCATCAAGACTGCTGAGGGAAAAAAGTGTTTTTCACAAAAGAATAAATATTGCGTACCGATATTCTGGCCTCAGAAAACACATCGTGTATGGGAAGAGTAATTTTTTTTCCAGGAGAATTATAGCAATCTTTTTATTTCCTAAAAGGGCCTTCTATGTCACATCAGACATTTGACTCTAAGCAGCTTACGAGCCCAGCATAAAAATAAAGAATAATGCGGTGGTTTTGTTTTAAGGCACTGTCACTAATAATAAAATACCCGCAGAAATTATTATTATTATGGATGAAATTACAAAACTTTCATCCAGCCTCAGAAATTAATCAGGGACTTCCATTCCACTCTCATTTCTTTCCCCCAAATGCTTTTAAAAATGTATTTTTAAAAGGTGTTTTTTTTTCCAAAAGGCAACTGGATTTCCTTGAGGGTTTTTTTTTCCTTGAAAATGTTTCCTTTCTCACCCGAGAAGCTTCTTCGGTTCTAACTGAGAACTGAAGAAGCTTCTTGGATGAGAAGGGAAATGTTTTCAAGGGGGGAAAAACCCCAAGAAAGTCAATTGCCTTTTTTGGAAAAAGCATATTTGGGACAACCATGATCTGGAAGATTGAGAATCTCCATAGACATGTGATTAAAGTAAAGGTAAAGGTTCCCCTCGCACATATGTGCTAGTCGTTCCTGACTCTAGGGGGCGGTGCTCATCTCCGTTTCAAAGCCGAAGAGCCAGCGCTGTCTGAAGACGTCTCCGTGGTCATGTGGCCGGCATGACTCAACGCCAAAGGCGCACGGAATGCTGTTACCTTCCCACCAAAGGTGGTCCCTATTTTTCTACTTGCATTTTTTACCTGCTTTCGAACTGCTAGGTTGGCAGAAGCTGGGACAAGTCACGGGAGCTCACCCCGTTACGCAGCACTCGGGATTCGAACCGCTGAACTGCCGACCTTTCGATCGACAAGCTCAGCATCTTAGCCACCGCGTCGCTTAGACATGTGATTTAAAACTTGCTAAATAGGGGAAAAAATGATGCTAGGGCTCTCATAACTGAGGTGAGGGCATCTCCGGGGCTTCTCAAAAGATGGCAGATGCCACTTTCTTAGTCCGTGCCATGTCAATATGTGAATAAACACCACAGTGGTTGGATCACAATGCCACACACACTTTTTCTACCCTCTTTTGATCCATAGACATTGTTGGAGGGTGTTCCATAGAAGGAGGGATCCTGAAGAAAAGACTGGTCCCCGAATCATTTCCCGCTTGCTCCTCACAAGGATTAGTAACTGATTCTTCTTAGATAAGCAGCCTCAGAGCTAACCAGGATATTAATATCGTACTGAGATTGAAATTTTAACTTATCTTGCTGGGATTGTTCTGTTCAGCACTCTTGGCTCGTAATGAAAACAATTATTTAGAAATTAAACTAGACAAAGCAGGTGAAACGACAGGTCTTCAAAAAAAAAACAAAAAACCAACCCACTACTCCCTAACACATCTGTATTCTCCCTCACAGAATAACAGAGTTGGAAGTCCCAAACCCAAAAAGTGTGGAGCCTTCTTGGAACTGTTGAAAGGACTGTGTTGTAGTCCTTTCTGTGTGAAACAAGTTGTTTCAACAGTTCCAAGAAGGCTCCACAACCCATTTGCACTACTCAGGAGATCCTGAGGACATAGACAAATCTCCAAGTGGCCTCAACAGCTCTCTAAAAAGGATGCAAATGACCAGCTGTCTACAAGACATATAAATCCTTCCCTTCCCCAGTCAGAGCTGAAGAAGCTTCTTGGATGAGAAGCGAAACGTCTTCAAAGAGAAACCAGGAAGTCCAGTTGCCTCTTGAAAAAAGCACCTTTCGGACAGCCACGACCTGGATGACTGAGAACCTCCATAGATAACAGAGTCAGAAGGGACCTAGTCCAACTCTATGCCCATTCCAGACAAACAGCTGTCCTGTCTCTTCTTGAAAACCTCAGGTGATGGGACACCTGCAACTTCTGGAGGCAACTTGTTCCACTGACTAAGGGTTCTTACTGATGGATCATCAAGGAGAGAGCCAACCTAGAACTAACAATTTTCTTCTCCTTCTGCAAGTAGAATATTCCGCTAGCCAACTTCGGGCCTAGAAGTAGGGACTGCAACGTTAAATACTCAAAGAGCCATTTGGACCCGTTTCCCACAGAAAAGAAAACACCGGGAGCCACAAAACCTGGGTGGGCGTGGCCAACTCGATGTCACTCACTTCCACAGGTCACATGACACCCCGCCCAGTCACGCCTACGCAGCCGGTCATTAGGGCAGAGAACCAGTTGTTAAAAAACACCGGGAACCACAAAATCCTTTTGACATATATCTCTCTCCTCCTCCCTCCCTCCCTCCCTCTCTGTATCTCTCTATGTCTCTCTCTCTCCCCCTCTCTCTGTATCTCTCTATGTCTCTCTCACCCTCTCTCTATATCTCTCTATGTCTCTCTCACCCTCTCTGTGTATCTCTCTATGTCTCTCTCTCTTCCCCTCTCTCTGTATCTCTCTATGTCTCTCTCACCCTCTCTGTATCTCTCTCTGTCTCTCTCACCCTCTCTCTGTATCTATGTCTTTCTCACCCTCTCTCTATATCTCTCTATGTCTCTCTCTCTTCCCCTCTCTCTGTATCTCTCTATGTCTCTCTCTCTTCCCCTCTCTCTGTATCTCTCTGTCTCTGCCCTGGCTGCTTCTCCATCCCCCACCATCGCCCTTACCTTCTCAGGCCAGGTGAGGAGTGACTGGGAGGGGAGGGTGAGGGGCGGGGCCAGCCAGTGGTGGGATCACCTGACAGGGAGCCACAGCAGAGGGCCCAAAGAGCCACATGAGGCTCCGGAGTTGCAGGTTGCTGACTCCTGAGGTAGCCTTTTCTCAGTCTTTAACAAATGCATTCATGGCCTTCTCAGAAGATCTGCTCATTTTTGAGGGACCTGTTAGGTTTAGTGAAGCTCTAGGGACATACTCTCAATTCCTCTTTATATTTACAGTGCTTCATTATTTGGGTTTGTTTTTTTTTTGCTCAGACCTCACAGCATATGTTGAAAAGGGAAAAATGAATTTAATCTCAGTCAGTTAACACTTAAGCAGAGAGAAAGCAATGAGGACGGTCTCATTTGCTTCCAGCTGGGTTTAAATTAGATTCCAGATTTCCACTTCGATAAACCTGCTAGCAATAATCTGGGTCAGATGAGACCAACCCAACACATCAATACTTAAAATATACAATGCTTAATTTTGTCGCCATAACTCAAGATGAGGGAAGACCCAGAAGCCAAGGTCTTTACATAAATATGCAAATATCCCTACCCATATTGTCTTGTTCCAGTTACAGAATGGCGCGAGCCAAAAGGCTGGGGGATTATCGTGATTCATGCAAAGTTATCAGCTTTGGAAAATTCATAGGAGACACCGTAAAAGTCATTTCGGTTACAAATATCAGAGCCACAATTTTTTTTTACCCCTACAAAAAATGAGCTTCGGTTCTACCAGAAGTGGGGTAAATACTGTTGTGACCTAGGCTCACTTACTCGTACAGGACACAATTAGTCTCAAACAAAACTATTTTATTATAACAGCTGAGAATTACTTCATTCCCAGCTTAGTCCAGATTAATTCCAAAACAAATCCTTCAGAAAAAGTCCTTCGGGATTATCACAAACCTTTATCTTCTTTGGCACCCTGCCAAAGGCCTTTCTTGGCAAAGCCCCACAAAGTTCAGAAACAAGAGATGCTGACTGGAAACAGATTTAGCAATGTTGCTTTCCTACAAAGAGCCCAAGAGCCTTTGCTGCTCTTTTAAGAATTATGGGAGGGGCCAATCATCTCCTTGCGTTACTCCTAAATCATCCCTTTTGCTTTAGCTGCTCTTGCCTTTTGGCAGCTCTGCGCATGCGTGCACTAGGAACAGGCTCCACCTGTTCCTCTGCCTCTCTGCTGTCTGACTCTGGAGGCTCCGGAGTCTGCACATCACTCCCAGATGGCCCTGGCCCCATCTCTGTCTCCAACGCAGAGTCCTTATCCAGGCCTTCCCCTGACTCCAGGACTGGCCCATGTTCCCCCCCAGCCTCCTCACTGTCCGACTCCACTGCTAGCTCTGCAAGCTGCTGGCGGACCACAACAGATGCTTTGAGTTAGATATTTTGCGTGCACTTCTTAATATAATCTAATGTGCTATCTTGTGCCAAAGATCCAGAACTATTTTTTTCTGGGAATAATTTCATTAAAATCGATGGAACTTCAGCCAGCCTTTTTGAACTCAAATCCTACTGATTTCTATAGGTTAACTGTAAAGCTGGATGGTGAACCTATGGCACGCATGCCACAGGTGGCACGTAGAGCCCTCTTTACGGGCATGCGAGCCGTCGCCCCAGCTTAGCTCCGCCACGCATGCGCGCATTCGCCTCCCGCTGGCCAGCTGGTTTTTGGGTCTCTGCCGTGCATGCATGGAGGGCAGGTCGTGCGTGAGGGGGTTGCGCAGGCATGCGTGGGGGTCACGAGCACATGTGTGGGGGTGGGGCACATGCAGGGGGTCACACACTCATGCGCAGGGGCGGGGCACATGTGAGGGGGGTCACACATGTGTGGGAGTGAGGTGCACACCGGGTGCTAGCCATCACTGTGTCAGACTTCGATGCTATCTCAAAGTAAATGTATTTCCAAACTGCCAATCTTTAAGGAAATCTTTTCTTTAATTGAGCACAGCCACCGGATCATGACTCAATGCGGACAAGACTGATCTTTTGCCCCCCAATCCCTCCCTTTCCGATCCCCAAATATCTGCTTCTCATTGGCTATCTTCCAAGTCATTCTCCAGCCTTCTTGTC